GGAGGAGGAGACCAGGGAACTAGAGAGAAGGAGGTCTTGTGAGGAGCGGAGTGTGCGTGCTGGGCGGTACTTGGATATTAGGTCAGTGATGTAGTTCGGGGCAGTATGGTGGACGGCTTTGTACGTCAATGTTAGGATTTTGAATTTGATCCGTTGCGCAATCATCGCAATCACAATTATGACAAATCACGTCTTGAACTATCTTGATTTGCATGTAATGAGTCTATCTCATATATAAGTTTCACCTTTTAAGTTTCATTACTGAAATAAATGAACTTTTGCACGATATTCTAATTTTTCGAGTTTCACCTGTATATATAAAATCTGAAAATAGATAACTTCTGATACACTGACAGCCTATCTCATTTCTTGAGGCCCGAAAGGGCCAGGACATTACAAATATCCCCCAAATTACCCCTTTTTTGGAAAGTAGAAAGTCCAAGGTATTTAGTAAGAGGCATGGCGAGTTTTTTAAAGTTGTAATTTTTTTGTCACACTTTTTTGAAAAATGAAGAAATTAAAAAAAAATGTTTTTTTCACAAACATCTTTTACGTACTGTCACCAGGGCAGTACAGCATCATCACATAACTGTGGTGGTGATCAGGAACACTGACTGGTGACATTATATAAAATAAATAAATAATTTATTTAATTTCATTTTCTTAGTTTTTTCTTATATTTTTTTGTAGTGACCAGAGCATACAGTGTTACCATAGTAACACTGTACTACTCTGCGGAGGTTATCAGGATTTTTTTTTTTTTTACACATTATGTTTAGAACTGAATTTTACAGCAACCACAGCTTATCACGTGGTACAGATGGGCTGTGATTGGCCCTGTCTGTACCATGTGATCACTGTGACCAATCAAAGAGCTCATCACAATAGTACACAATGAAAGGCATGAATCAAAGACTTTCATTGTGTACAATTGTCATGTGATCTGCTGTGATTGGCCACAGTGATTACATGGTACCGGCAGTGGGCTGGTACAGTGATCTGTCACCGGCTGTGTCTGGTGGACATAGTATGTGACATATCATGCCCAAGCATAGCTCACATGAGGCGCTATCCTGGGAAGACATCATATGATGTCCTCCAGGATAATAAGGCTCCCGCACGGCCATCATGTTACAATAGGCCTGGCAGGAAGGGGTTAAACACATACACTCTGCTTTTGCAATGGGCATGTTCACACCTATAAAAGGGTTAACAACAATTAGGCTGCTTTCATACTGATCCACAGGTGCAGTGCAGTGCTCCTATGTTTTTTTTTTTTTTCGTTTACAGGGGTTTGAGGGGGTGGTGGTAAAACCAAGTAGTTGAGATATGTTTTTACAACACACCCCAACCATTGGTATAGCATCAGGGGTCACAATGGTGACCCTACCCCATGCTCCAGGGAACCATGCAGCCTCCCTGTCATATTCTGTTTTGCACTTGGATAGGAGGGAAGGCGGGTGCACCATTTTCCTCCTGAAACCGCTGAAAGCCAGCTTCTCCTCCTCTCCCTCCCGACGGCATTCCGCAGCTGCAGGAGGAAAATGCTCATTATGTTATTTAAAATAAAACATTTGAAATTCTGAACCATTTAATTTCATTGTGGACCGTGACTGGTTACCAGGTCACTTAAGAGGCCCTTGCTCTTCAAAAGGTTGAGCAACCTGCTTTAAATGTTAAAATTCCCAAGATTAGCTGAACAGCCAAATGCTAACAGCAAGGGTTATAATTACACTGTCGATTACAATGTGTAAAAAGCAACAAATAAAATGTCAAACATATGCCAAATTAGTACTACATTATCTTTAGTAATAATAGCGATCATATGGTCAAACAGTCGTACAAATACACAAACAATATCTCCATGAATTAGTGTCTAGAAAACGTAAAATATATAGCTAGCACATGGAAAGCTTTTTAGTATGTGGGGTATGGAAAAGTGTTAAATGTATACTAAAGTTATTTTATTATGACTGTTGCTAAAATTGCTACTACTCTGAGTGTTCCTGTGCACCAGAAAATGTCCAGAGCTTACATTTGGAAGTGCTTATCAAAACCCCTAAGGTGTCCCAATTCTCAAACAAAAGTTCAAATAAGATCATGGATAACATGCGACTCTTGCTACCATACTCATGCTACTGTATGTCAGAGAGCCCCTATTAAAAACAATGGTGACCAGTACAAAGACCAACCCACCAACTGGACTTTGCTACAGATAATACTTGAGCACATTTTGTTCTGGTTCATATTATTATTATTTGAAAGGAAATGGTTGTGCTTGTTCATTATGGTTAAAAAGCATCAAAATGATTTTGTGAATTTTACAGATTGAAAAGACCAAGCAGTTCTGGTACAAGTAATAATTAGAAGAGGTAAATCACAGCCCTGGACATTCACTGAAAGCCTGGTATCCAAGGCCATAGAAAGCAGTTGCCACAGTATTTGTAATACCCATTTGCTGATGGGTTAATGAATAGCCTCTTACATAACCATCACCATGGAAACCTTCAGAATGGCATTCACAAATGTGGGGGAGTTCAGAAACAGAAGCATTTTAGATACTCAATTGAAAGCCCCATAGAATAGCGTGAAAGAAACATTAGCTGGGCTTTAAACAAGGCTATCACCTGAGATCTGGAAAAACACTTCCATTTCAAAGCATAATCCTAAACACTTGACTGTAAAGCAGGATAAGCAGTGGATCGGAGAATAAAAGGAGACCATTCTGTGCTCTGATGTCTGGAATTCATTCACCTTGCAAGGAGTCTGATCAAGTTAGGGTGTCTGGATGCCAGACCTCTAACCTGATCACCATCATTAGGATAACTTTAAAGGATAAGTTCACCTTTTGACAAAAAATAATAAATGCATGTAAAACAATGTGCATTTATTATTTTTTGTTTTGGAAACCTGTAAAGCATTGCACCAGCGATCAGTAGATTGCTGGTGCCATGCAGGTCTCCTGCAGACCTGTCAGTATATCTGCTTGCCCGTACGTGATGTACGGACAAGCAGATATACTGACAGAAAGAATCAATGAACTACCACAGCACTCACAGCTGCTAAGGCTGTCGGGACTTGTAGTATTCTCATTCACAGAGGAATTTTTTTTTTTAAATTTTGACAGCAGGGACAGAAGATCCCCCACTAGCTGTCAAAGCGGGGGAGCAGCAGCCAGTCCATTATAACATGTTATATGTTACTGTATACCTGGGGTGGGGTGAGTTAGGTCAGGAGGGAGGATAGTAAGCATAAACACACTTTGTGCACCTTTAACCTCTTGCCCTCCGGAAGATTAACCCCCCTTTCTGACCAGGACATTTTTTTGCTATTCAGCACTGTGCTATTTCAACTGGTAGTTGCACAGTCATGCAATGCTGTATCCAAACGAAATTCATGTTCTTTTTTTTCGCACAAATAGAGCTGTCTTTGGTGGTATTTGATCACCACTGAGTTTTTTATTTTTTTGTGATACGAACAGAAAAAACCCCAACATTTAAAAAAAAAAAAAAAAAAAAAAAAGATATTTTCTACTTTCGTTACAAAAAATATTCAGTAAACTCAAAGTTAGATATAAATATAGGCCAAATGTATTCTGCTACATGTCTTTGGTAAAAAAAAAATCCCAATACGTGTATATTAATTTGTGCAAAAGTTATAGCGTCTACAAACCATGGTATATATACTGGAATTTACACAGCTTTTACTTTCTGACTGCCTATCACATTTCTTGAGGTGCTAAAATGCCAGGGCGGTACAAATTACCCCACTTTGGAAAATAGACACCCCAAGGAATTTGCTGAGAGGCATGTTGAGTCCATGGAAGATTTAATTTTTTTTGCCACAAATGTCTTAAAAATGGCAATTTTTTTTTTACACAAAGTTATGACTTTAATGATATATTGATCACATATGCCATGGCTATATGTGGAATAACACCCCAAAACACATTCTGCTACAAATATGGGGATACCACTTGTGAGAGAATTTTTAGCAGCCTATCTACATATAGGCCCCTAAAATCCAATGTCCACTTTCAGGCTTTTAAAGGGCATATTTCCTCATATCATTTCCTCACTACCTATCACAGTTTCGGAGACCCTAAAATGCCAGGATAGTACAAACACCCTCCAAATGATCCCTTTTTGGAAAGTAGATAATCCAAGGAATTTGATAAGAGGCATGGGGAGTATTTTCCAGATATAATTTTTGTCACATGGTTTTGAAAATGAAAAAAAAAGAGAAGAGAAAAAATAAATTTTTGTTTTCTTTATTCATTTTCCAAAAACTTGTGGCAACAATGAAATCCGCAAAAATACTTACCATGTCTCTTAGCAGATATCTTGAAGTGTCTACATTCCAAAAAGGGACCATTTGAGGGGGGGGGGGGTGTTTCTACTATCCTGGCATTTCAGGGCCAACATTAGAGGCTTCTGCCACACATCACCCACTCTTTTTACCACTTGAAGAACAAGCCTTTTCTGACACTTTTATTTACATGAAAAAACCATTTTTTTAAAATAGAAAATTAATTTGAACCTCCAAACATTATATATTTTTTAAAGCAATGGCCCTAGAGAATACAATGGTGGGTGTTGCAATTTTTTATATTAAACAGTATTTGCGTGGCGATCTTTCAAACGAAATTTTTTTGGAACAAATACACTTTTGACTCTTAATGCACGAAAACACAATATATTGCCCAATTGTTTGATAACATATAAAAGATGATGTTACGCCAAATAAATACCAAACATATATATTGTGCACACTGCTTTGGATGGCAATGCATCGCACAGCCATGCAAAGCAGTGTACTTACAGTGAAGCACACAGACACAGCCCAATGTAAAACAGCACATAGTTAACCCTTTGATTGGCCCTCATGTTAACCCCTTCCTGCCCAGTGCCATTAGTACAGCGTCAGTGCGTTTTTTTAGCACTGATCACTGTACTGGTGTCACTGGGGATGTCAGTGACACCAAGTCTGTTCCCCCCCAGTGTCAGAATGCCCACCGCAGTCCCGCTATAAGTCACTGATCGCCGCCATTACTAGTAAAAAAAAAAAAAAAATTCCAGTATATATACCGCCATTTTTAAATGCTATAACTTTCACGTAAACCAATTAATTTACACGTATTGGAATCTTTTTTTAGCAAAGACATGTAGCAGAATACATTTTGCCCTAAATTTATGATGAAATTTGATTTTTTTTTTCATTTTTTTTTACTGGACATGTTTAATAACAAAAAGTCAAAAATATTGGTTTTTTTTTCAAAATTGTTTTTTTTTTTAGCGCAAAAAATAAAAAACCGCACAGGCGATCAAATAGCACCAAAAGAAATTACTGTGCAATTGTCAGTTAAAGTAACACAGAACCGGAATGCAAAACGTGCCTTCCCGCTGCTTGTAAAAACAATCTAGCAGCTAATTAGCTGTTAGGATTGCTTTTACATGAAAGCCAACCACCAACTGAAAAAATAGACACCAGGATGATGCCTGTAGCTGCAGGCATCATCCCGGTATAACTGCTCAAAAGTCCACCAATGTACCAGTATGTTGCTGGTCCTTGTTGGGCATATATGTAACAGCAGAGAACATGGGCATATGATGAAATGGGTCAGTGGACCAATATGACTGCAAGTCATTCTTTTTGGTAATGCCCATGTTAGGCCCAAAAAAGTTTTAAATTCAGAAACCCGTGATAGGTTTCCATGTGAATTGTCTGGCAAGAGCTGAATTTGGGTGGGGGTCGATGTATTGTTGTGTGTATAAATAAAAAGGAAAATCTCCTGCGCCAAAATGTAGATGTAAATGATAAGATGATTAAAGCAGCCTGTATTAGTAGTGCCACAGCCACAGCACCAAAATCAACAACTCAATATAAAACCAATTAATACGGCGCTAAATAAGCAAAATAAGATAAGATAAAAAACCATATAAAATAGTGGCTGACATATATAAGGAGTGGCTGACATATATATAAAGAGTGCAGTGGACAGCTATGAGGATAACATGCATGAAGGTGAGCAAAAACGTGAATAATATCCTTAATGGGTAAACATAAGGTGAATAGTGTCCTTAATGGGTCACACAGACTTCATGCAGGTGTGTGAGCCACAATGTGCCAATCCTCTAAGGCTGGGGTGCCCCCTCACCTTCCTGCTCAGGCCCCCCAGGACCAAAGAGCTTATATTGCTGATTGTAATGATCCTGCTGGTCTGTGGATCCTGCTGGTAATAGTGGTGTCACTCACTCCTCCTGGTAGGTCTTAGTATGGAATAGTAACCTCAGCACTGCCCGTGATGTCTCTCCGATAAAGGCTCTCCAGTACGGTCACCAGTGAGGCAAGAGAGACTTACATAGTATAAAACCTTTTATTAAAGTTAAAAACAAACCAAGAGCCTACTTACACAGATCTGATAATAAGCAGGCCTTTACACCTCTCCACGGGTGTACTGTGTTCAGGACTTGGAGCACCAAGATGGCGTCCACGCCGGATGTGACGTCAAGCCGTCGATCGTGGGAAGCTCCTCCCTCTGGCGTATCTACGCGTTACGTCACTCAAACACGTGACTTCATCAGGATATACGCCTACTAGCGGTGGAGCTTAATTTATTAGTCGATTACCCAATCAGCATTGCTGATGGGCGGTGCCGACCGCCATTGGAGTGAAGTACAATGAGGGGCGGACAGTCTTCCAGGTATCTTGGTTAAAATAAAGATAAAATCTCAAACCGAACGATCGTATCGAGGGTTGATATATAGGATGAATATATATATAGGTGGATTACGGTCACTCTGGTGCAAGCTCCGATAACGAAGTAAGGCAACCTAAGGCGGCACTCTAACCTCAATTCCCACCATAGAAACAATAATATAAAAAAATGTAAAGTAATATTGGAATAAACCAAATTAAAAGGAGATAAATCATTAGGGGGATCTATAATATCTATATAGTAACTTACAAGCGAAACAGCAGAAGTACATTATTGACTGTCTAGATTTTTGCCTCACCCACAAACTATTTCTGGCATGGACACCAATTTTATAAACAAATAAGAGGGGTTGCCATGGGTGCCCGCTTTGCCCCGAGCGTGGCTAACCTGTTTATGGCCCACTGGGAACAATATTCCATCTACTCCCAAACACCTAAGGAGTTGGCGTTATACAAACGCTATATAGATGATGTGATAATCTTTTGGAGGGGTGATGAGACCTCCTTGCAGTTATTTTTACAAAACACGCTTAACTCTAATGACCGAAATATTTCACTTTCATGGGAAACCAGTGAAGAATCCATTCATTTCTTGGACCTAAACATTGCAATCAAAAGAAACAGATTAACCACCACTACTTATTTCAAAAATGTTGACCGGAATGGCTACATTGCACTGGACAGCTGCCACTATCCTAAGTGGCTTTTGAATATTCCCAAGGGTCAGTTCATTCGTCTAAGGAGAAACTGTACCGAAATAGAGGATTATAACAACCAGGTCCAAAAACTAGGGGATAGATTCGAACAAAAAGGTTATAGTAAACATCTCATTTCTAAAAAAATCGACGAAGTGGGGAAAATGGACAGAACCCAATTGTTGACAGATAAGATTAAGGAGGCACATCTAGATGACCGCGTATCTATCATTTTAGATTACAACATGCACTATAAAAAAATCGAGAAAATATTTTAAGAAGTACTGGCCTATCCTCCAATCGGATCCCCTTTTAGAGAAAGCCCTACCTGCTAAACCATTGTTTATATATAGGAAGGCCCCCAGCATTAGAACTAGTATAGTCAAAAATGTGATTGACCCCCCTCAGATTAACCGCAGCAATACACTTTTTGATCTAAAGGGTTTCTACCCGTGTAAGACCTGCTATGCCTGCAAGGCCACAAAGGGAAGTAATAGGAAAATGAGAGAATTCCAAGCAACCACTACAGGAATGACATATACCATCAAGGAGTTTATTACATGCCACACAGAGGGGGTAGTATATTGTCTCCAGTGCGAGTGTGGGCTGCAATACGTGGGACGAACTAAGAGGCCCATGTGGAAGAGGATTAGGGAACATATCCAAAATATAAAAAAGGGCCACACTAAACACAGTGTTCCCAGGCATTTTACCACCCACCATCATAATGATCCGTCCAAACTTAAATTCTGGGCAATAGAAAAATATAAAAGACACTGGAGGGGGAGCAATAAAGTGAGATCTATTAGTCAAATGGAATCCAAATGGATTTTCCTTTTGAGGTCACAAGCCCCGAGGGGCCTCAACGTTGAATTCGACCTGAATTGCTTCATCAGCAACTATTAAATCAGACCCCTAACATCTTCTATGTTCTGCATTATGTTTGCATTAGGCTCTGTATTGTTAATTATAATGTCATGTTATGGGCATTGACCAACCCTATGGTGTACTGTTTATATGGGCGATTTGGTCTTTATATTTATATTTATGATACATACCTAGTCGCCCTTGGTGAATAGGTATTACTAGGGGCTATCTTTGATATATTATAGATCCCCCTAATGATTTATCTCCTTTTAATTTGGTTTATTCCAATATTACTTTACATTTTTTATATTATTGTTTCTATGGTGGGAATTGAGGTTAGAGTGCCGCCTTAGGTTTGCCTTACTTCGTTATCGGAGCTTGCACCAGAGTGACCGTAATCCACCTATATATATATTCATCCTATATATCAACCCTCGATACGATCGTTCGGTTTGAGATTTTATCTTTATTTTAACCAAGATACCTGGAAGACTGTCCGCCCCTCATTGTACTTCACTCCAATGGCGGTCGGCACCGCCCATCAGCAATGCTGATTGGGTAATCGACCAATAAATTAAGCTCCACCGCTAGTAGGCGTATATCCTGATGAAGTCACGTGTTTGAGTGACGTAACGCGTAGATACGCCAGAGGGAGGAGCTTCCCACGATCGACGGCTTGACGTCACATCCGGCGTGGACGCCATCTTGGTGCTCCAAGTCCTGAACACAGTACACCCGTGGAGAGGTGTAAAGGCCTGCTTATTATCAGATCTGTGTAAGTAGGCTCTTGGTTGTTTTTAACTTTAATAAAAGGTTTTATACTATGTAAGTCTCTCTTGCCTCACTGGTGACCGTACTGGAGAGCCTTTATCGGAGAGACATCACGGGCAGTGCTGAGGTTACTATTCCATACTAAGACCTACCAGGAGGAGTGAGTGACACCACTATTACCAGCAGGATCCACAGACCAGCAGGATCATTACAATCAGCAATATAAGCTCTTTGGTCCCTGGGGGCCTGAGCAGGAAGGTGAGGGGGCACCCCAGCCTTAGAGGATTGGCACATTGTGGCTCACACCTGCATGAAGTCTGTGTGACCCATTAAGGACACTATTCACCTTATGTTTACCCATTAAGGATATTATTCACGTTTTTGCTCACCTTCATGCATGTTATCCTCATAGCTGTCCACTGCACTCTTTATATATATGTCAGCCACTCCTTATATATGTCAGCCACTATTTTATATGGTTTATCTTATCTTATTTTGCTTATTTAGCGCCGTATTAATTGGTTTTATATTTTGTTGTGTGTATAAATTGCTTTGGCCCACAATCAATTGATACAAATCTTCCATGAAAAACAGCAGACGGGCTAAACGCTAGTGCTGGCAGCAAACTTGGCCGATCCTGCTAACACTGCATTTTTGGGGGTGATCAGCGACCTATACCTTGAGTGTAATATGTGCGGGCAATCTTACGCTAGCTGACCCTGGCTTTTTTTTTTCTTTTTTTTAAATATGGAACACTTTTTTTTAAATATGGAACACTTCACAAATTTGCGTGTCATCCTTGCGCAGGGGCCATGCTAATCTTCTCTGTATCGCAAAGCGATCACATGATCACAGGGTCCCATTCACCAAGATTTTCAATTGTGGGTGGGGAGCACTGTGCGCCCGCTTGGGGGTTCAGCACCCTGCTGTGTAAGTGCTGCCAGAGAGGTGTACCCGTATGTCACTTTTCCTGTAGCTC